CTTCGTGTTTAACATCTCTTTATACACTCCTTTTTATAATGATTTTGATAACACATCTCTTGAGTGCTGACACTTGAAGGCAACAGAAAACCATTGGATTTTTAACATTCTCTCATTTTCAACAGCACTTCATTGTATGCGCTTTTCATTAAATACAACTTTCAAACCATTTAACAAATTATTTTAAATAGAAATTAAAGGATTTTCTCAAAGCAATTGATATAAAATATATACAAAACAATTCACTATTTTTACAAAACAAAACACAAGAAAAGTAAAAATATGTCAATACATTATAAATGGCAAACGAAATACTATTCCCTGAGAATTAAGACTAGAAATTGTAAAAATTAATAAATTTAATACAATTAGTAGACAATAGTATGAGAGAAGGACTTAAAGCAATAGAAAGTTATTTTTACAAGTTTTGGGAAGAGTTTAAAAGACAAGAGAGAAAACATAACAAAAACACAATAGTTTGATACACAGACTCATTGAACCGTCACTTAATGTTTGCTGTAATTGAAATGAAAGACAATTTGTCATTAAAATTATAACGTTTTGTGTTTGGTTTAACAGAAAAGAGACGACAATTTCAAGGCTAAGAAGATTGTCTTTCATTTAAGCCGTGATATCGTTGTCTCCAATACATTACCTGTCATTTCCACTATAATAACAAATTATTAATTTAATACAACATAAAAACCTCCGCTTTTTACTTCATTTCTTAATCCATTCAATGGATTATCACATAAATCCAAGTCTTCGTTGAAGGGAACAGTTTAACCGCAATTTGTTTAATACTCTAACACTTTTTGATACCTTTAAACATACCAACAGTTGATACTTTATGAAACTCAAACTAACACTCAATATAAAAATCAAATAATTTGATTACTAATTATTTACCGACTAATTAACACTTATTACAAATCTGTTGAAACCTTAAAACTTTTATAAAAAACAAATATAAACTTATCATTGATTTCAATAATAGAACCGAATTTATAATGGATTTAATGGCGAAAAGACGAGTGCATACCTGAATCCACTATTAGGTGGTCCACGAAATGAGTTGCCGTTACCCATACTGTCGTGAAATCCGGAGCCTCCGTGTCCGCCGCCCATTGAGCCCCCGCCACCGCTTCCGCCGTAATGCGAGTTTCCGGGTCCGCTCGAGCCGTAGGGACCCGATGGCGGACCGCTAGACATTCCGCCGCCACCGCCTGATAACGGGTTAAAACCTCCGCCCATCGGAGAGCTCGATTGGCCGCCACCACCGCCGCCGCCGTATTGGTTGCTAGGACTTGAGTACTGTCCGTATTGACCGCCACCAGACTGTCCACCGCCCGACTGTCCACCAGTGCTGCCGCCGGACGTAAAGTACGAGTTGGCGCCGCCGTAGCCGCCGCTCGACGAGCCATAACCAGAACTACCGGTGTTGGCACCACCGGCGCCGGGAGCGCCACTCGACCCACCAGTACTATAACCATAACCAGATTGACCTCCGGATTGGCCGTCGGCTATAATGCAAATAAAATATAAGTTTTATAAGAAGGTATAACCGCTAGAATATCCCTCCCGTGTGGTTACCCCTCGTTTCGCATACATGACGGATACCTGAGCCTCGATCCATACACTGTACACTTCAGTGTAGTGATAGGCGGTTCACTCGACCAGTGACTCTGAGCACCTGTAACTCTGAGCACTTACTCATACATTCATATACATAATAAATAGTTATCGTGTGGTTATTGGCCACCAATGGCCTGGGATATAGCCAGCGATCGGTTCCCAAACATAACCCACGACTGACATCGCAGTGATTATACGTTTAAAATACAATGGTTTTACTTACAGTAAAGGTTAGGTTGAGTTGAATAGGAGTACTGATCACTAGGAGTACTGGATTGATAGCCGCCGGACTGTTGTCCGTATGGATTGGGGGCCGAAGTGTTGCCGCCATAAGCGGGAGCCGCAGAGCCGGCCGACGAATACGATGAGTACGAGTCGCCGCCGTATGAGCCGTATTGAGTGCCGCCGTAACTGTAAAACACGACAAATACAATGAAACCAAACGGTTTGGAAGTAGTCATCGGTGGCCAGAGAAGTGGCCAAACACTACATACCCGGTGCCGGTCACTGAACTATTGCCAGAGGAGTAGCCGTACTCTGCAAATGAAAATATATGCAAATATATTAGTCGACAGTCATATCAAAAGGTGGTCAGAGGTGTCATACGTGAGTCTGTCATGACTGGATCCGATGGTATCGTGTCTTTGAGTTGATTATCAATCAAATGAATTGTCTTTTTGTTGAGTCAAAAGAAAGTGAATATTGTTTTAAAGGGAAAATGGCGTCAAATATATGCACTCCTATTGTGTTCAATACAACACTAGTGGAGACACCCATTGATTGACAGCCAAAACACAACACTTACGCAATGTTTGCCAAATATAAATGTATTGTTCACTAAATATGGTTATAATTGATTCAAATTGTGTTTATTATTCAATGAATTTATTAATTATTAGTAAAAACTAAATTTAATGAAGTGTTTACTTATGAAACACATGCTCTGAATGTTTAATACATGTGTAATAAACGTATAGTGATATTAAAAATGGCATTTATAAAAATAAATGGCTTGTCGGGCACATTCCCAGTGGGCATATTCCCGATAAATGCCTTCAAAACTGGTACCAATAGATGGCAGCACCACTTAAGTGTATAACATTCATAAGTACATGTGACTATCATATGAAACTAACAGCCAATAATAAGCTTTGGGGCTTATTTCAAATATCCAAATAAGCTGTTTGTTAATTAATAGCAAAACGTATTGTTTGACACCACCAAAGCCAGCGGTCGCGGACTCAGTGCATCAATTGGCAGGGCGATTAAACAATGCTAAATATTAAATGACAGTTATTTTATACAACTGGCTAGTTTGGTTACTGAGAGTACTGTTTAACACCGGCGGCGGCCGTACAGTACATACACATAACAGTATGATTAGTGGGTATAGTGTTTAACACCGGCGGTGGCCGTACAGTACATACACATAACAGTATGATTAGTGG